TACTTACATTGATTTAGAATAAAGTTAGAATCTTTTTTTATTTAAAAAAACAAAGGTAGTTGTATTAATAAAATTTTACAAAATAGCTCTTTAAATTTGTATTTCTTATAATCTATTATAAGATTTACAACACAAAAATTGATTTTCTGAAGATCTTTTATTTTGTCATTTTTGGTCTTTTTTTCAGCACCTAGCCCATATAATCTTAGTATAATATAATACAGATTACTGTATAAATCTATTATAGAATAAATATAATATTTATCTAAAACTTTTTTTTATACTAAGTTAATTAGCAAGATTGATTAATTGAAAGTTGTAAAGCCTGTCTTTGTGGGTTTAATAGTAGTTAAATCATCCAAATCAGCCTGAAATATCAGTAAATAACTTATAAAATTTTGTATCGAAAATTACAAAAGCTGACCCGACTGGGTTATGAGAAACAATTAATTAACTTTATATGGCCTTACATTAAAACAGTGGGCGTATTATAATTTGAGAAATCCTTTTGTTTAAGAGATTTTTCTCGAAATGCTAACTATATAGATACCTATTTAAAAATGCTTTCTATATAGAACTTCAAATAATATTAAGGGACCACACTAAAATTTTTTGTTACGTTACCAATTATTATCAAAATTTTGATTAACTTAGCGTAACCTTTGTTGAAGTTATTGGGTTCTAGCTATAGGGATGAATATAAGATGTGGTATACTGGCTCGAGCAAAAGTAGCTATGTAAAAATAAAAATGGTAAGATTAAAGAGAAAAGTAACACCGCGCGGAGGTGGTTATTGGGATTCGCTGAATCATCAAAATTGATAATAAAATAAGAACTTGATTTAAGTAGATCTAAATAAAAGGACTGGTTGTAATTAATGTTAAAGAAACTTGTAATATCAAATCTAGTCGCTACATACTTACATTGATTTAGAATATTAATGGATTGATTGCTGAAATCACTTGAAAGATGTTTTAGAAAGGTAGAAATGTTGAGCAGGTAATTTGTATGACGTGCTGTTGAATACATTCCTGACGTAAAATGTCGGGGAGAAAAAACCCGAGGATTTATTTTGGTAAATTTCTTTGATTTTTGGATTTGTTTATATAATTCTGAATCTTTGCTATCTTTTTCCTTCCACCAATTATAAAATGTTGTAAATAACTCATCCGCATTTGGACGATTGACTGGTGAACGATCCCAACAACGAACAATAAGTTGCTTAAATAAATCTGGCACTTTGGGATTAATTTTCGGACGTCGATTGCCATAAATAATATCAAATATTAAAAGTTCATCATGTGAAATTTTATAAAAAGGAGGTCTTTCAGAAAACAATTCATTCATAATGACACCAAACCCATAAACATCTGAAGCTTTTGTATATTCGTGCCCTTGTAATACTTCAGGAGCAATATAAGGCAATACACCATAAATTTCTCTTTTTTTATCATTCCGTTCATTAATTTTATCAATTGGAAAAGATAATCCCAAATCTGTAATGTTAGTTCCGCTATATTCGTCACATAAAACATTCCCACTATGGAGATCTCCATGAATTAACCCAGCAGAATGAATCGCTTTAAGTCCCGTCGTAATGCTCAATAGAATGTCAATTTTATAAAACAGTGACAATTTTCCCAAGTTACGGTTTAAATAATTACGAAGGTTTCCATGACTCGCATATTCCAAAACCATTATAAAATTATTTGTCTCTGGGTCTTTGGTTATTCCGTAACACCAGATTGTACAACTTTCATATGCAATATTGATATGGAATTTTATCTAAATATTGTGATATATGACGTGTATATGCAGGATCATTATTTAAATAATTATATGTACAGTACAAATTTGAAATAATCAATCAATTCATACCTCTTGTAAAAACTCATCAAATTTGGCATATGAGTTATGTAAAATTTTCAATGCGACATTCATTTTACCTTTTCGTTTCCATTGTTGAGTTCGATCATTCCATTCTAGAATTCTTCCATCAGTCCAAATTGCACTATAAACTTTACCAAATCCGCCTTCATTTAAATACTCAATTTTTTTAAAATTTTCATATGGAATCCATTCTAGAACATT